AGCAGCTAGGGACCGAAGAGGCATTGCTGATTCTACCTCATGGCTATGACCCGGATGAGGAGGATGAGCCTGCGTACTGTTTTCTTGCCCCTGCACCAGAGGAACCAGCTAGCATGGAGGAGGCATTAGCTGGACCAGATAGGGACAAGTGGCTGGCTTCTAGGGATGCTGAGTACCAGAGTCTGCTGGAGAATAGGACATGGGATCTGGTGGTGCTGCCTGATGGGAAGAAAGCGATACAATGCAAGTGGGTGCTGAGGATCAAGACCGATGACAAGGGGCAGGTCACCATCTACAAGAGTAGGCTGGTGGCGAAGGGGTTTATGCAGAAGGAGAAGCAGGACTTCAACGAGATCTTTGCTCCCACTGCCAAACCCCCTACCCTCCGTGTCTTGTTGGCAGATGCAGCTGTTAGTGGGAAATTCATCATTCAGATGGATATTTCAACGGCATTCCTGAATGGGATTTTAGAGGAGGATGTGTACATGACGCAGCCGCCTGGGTATGAGGATGGTACGGGCAGGGTGTGCAAGCTCAACAAGTCCATCTACGGCTTGAAGCAGGCGCCACGCTGCTGGTACCAGAAGTTGGCAGCTGTTTTAGAGGAGATGGGATTCAGGACCAGCAGCTGTGATGAGAGCCTCTTTCTCAAGGGCGAGGGGGAGAAGCTGGTGCTGTTTCTGGTCTATGTGGACGACATTCTTCTCTTCAGCAGCAGCATGAAGGAGATCCAGAAAGTGCAGCAGCAACTGATGGAAAACTTCAAGTGCAAGAACCTTGGGGAGGTAAAGTACTACCTCGGGATGCACGTGGAGAGGGATCCAGATCACAGGTGGTTGAAGCTGCACCAGGAGAAGTTCATCAAGGAGCTGGGGGAGAAGTATGGGATTGAGAATGAGCGCAAGGTTGCAACTCCCCTGCCAGCAGAATTCAAGCTTGTGAAGGCTGCAGAGGATGAAGGGGTTGAAGCTGAAGAGCAGCAGCAATTTCAGTCCTTGGTGGGCAGCCTCTTGTACGCAGCAGTTCACACGAGGCCCGACATCTCTTTCTCGGTTGGGCAGCTGGCTAGGGTGGTGCAGAATCCATCAGAGGAGCAGGTGGATGCAGCTGAGCGTGTGGTGAAGTACCTGAACTCTCACCCAAGCATTGGAGTTCAATACTCCGCATCTGCACAGGTGAAGCAGAAAGGGGTGGAGGTGCTGAAAGAGAAGGGGGAGAGGCTTGGAGAAGGCAAGCTATTTCTCACTTGCTTTACCGATGCTACGTGGGCTTCTGAGAAGGAGGATTCCTCATCTGTGGGAGGATACATCTGCGTAGTTGGGGGAGGACCTGTTAGTTGGAGGTCCAAGAAGCAGACGGAGACGGCACTCTCTTCCGTAGAATCAGAGTACATGGCGATGTTCCATGGGGTGAAGGAGGTGATTTGGCTGAGGAGGCTGTTAGAGGAGATTGGCCAGGAGCAGAAAGTTGCTACGCCGCTGTTTTGTGATAGCAAGGGGGCTCTTGGGATGGCCAGAAACGCTGTGCTTCATGGGCTGAACAAGCACATGCGTATCAAGTGGCACTGGCTGCGTAAGGAGGTGAAGAGGGGGACGGTGCATCCGATCTACATCAAGACTCACCAGCAGCCAGCAGACTTTCTCACCAAGAGGCTTGCGGATGAGCCTCATTGGCGTTGTGTGCGCATGAGTGGAATGAGCATGAACTAGCATGGAATGACGGGGATGCAGCCGGCAGGCTGAGGGGGAGTGTGTTGGGTGCAAATGCACATTGCACGACATCCTGCCGTCTGTTTGTACGAGTATGCGTGTGCGAATGCATTTGCGTGTGAATGGTGTGTTCGTGTGTTTGTTTGCTTTCGCATTTTTTCGCTTGATGCATTTGCAGGTACTCGCGCAATGTGCGCTTCGGCACAACATTGTATGCGCTATGAACAGTGCAAGCAGAAAGGACGAGCTCGCAAAGGAACCCAAGATGGAAGCTTTGCAGTTCGGTTGAGTTGATTGCGCAGATTCAGTTCTATCCAACTCGGAATTGTACTGTTTTGTTTGGTTAACTATAGTGTAGCAGGGAAGGCACTATAGGGGTACAATTTAGGTGAAGGTTGGATGTTGTTTGTCTGTATCTGCATGCTACAAGGCCAGGGGAAACCAGCGGAACCAGCATTTGGCTGGTTGGGCAAAGACAAAACAGGTTCTGTTTTTAGAACCTGAACCTGGTTGTTGTTTTCCCAGGTTGGAAAAACAGAACCAGAGGTTGTTTACCAACCTACCACCTGCTATTTTGTCCAGCCAGGTTGGTTCTGTTGCTTGGAATTATTTGGGATCATCCCTGGTTGTTCCCAGGTTGATTCCCAAGGTCCTTGCTAGCTAGAACTATTTAATTCTTCTCTGTTTGTACCTGAATATAGTCAAATTGATTCAAGCGAATTCCTTCCTCGCTGGAATTTCGTTTCTACGCGGTTCGTTGGCGGAATGCTACCCGAGTCAACGCTAGTACGCTAGCACTCTAATGCTAGGCAAACACCGTCTGAGCCATAACTTCGTAATGGCAGAACTTTTCGCGAGGCAACTTGGCTCATTTTAAAGCTCTTGGAGCGAGCTTCGATATAGCGAATTCTCAGCTTAATCCGATCGACGGTCTGCACGGCACGCTGCGCGACGTTCAAGGTGCTCTTGCTGTTTTGACTAAGTCCTTCTTGATCCCTCTCTCTACAAACTCGGACCCGAGGATAGGGGCTGGTCTTGTACCAGGCACCCAGGGACCCTTGGAGGTGACCCCGAGGAGAGGTTTTAAGTTTGATTAAGTCCTAATAGCTTGAGTTTATTAGGCCCTTACACCAACATGCTAGAGGATTCAGTCAGCGAGAGGGAGTCCACTTATTCCAGACCTTCTCCCGTACCCCGAAGATGACTACTCTTCGGGTGCTGCTGCACGTTGCCGCTCAGCGTGACTACGAGCTTCACTCTCTTGACTTCAGCACAGCCTTCTTACAAGGCAGCCTGCACGAGGAGATCTGGCTGCGCCGCCCTCCTGGCTTCACTGGGGCGTTCCCTCCTGGTACCCAGTGGAGCCTCCGGCGGCCAGTCTACGGTCTCCGCCAGGCGCCTCGTGAGTGGCACGATACACTGAGGACTACACTTGCGGCTCTTGGGTTCGCTCCTTTGACTGCTGACCCGTTGCTGTTTCTGCGCACCGACACTTTGCTGCCGCCGTTCTACATCCTCGTGTACGTCGACGATTTGGTCTTTGCCACTGCTGACACTGAGGCTCTTGCCCTGGTGAAGTCCGAGCTGCAGAAGAGACACACGTGCAAAGACCCGGGTAAGCTGCGCAGTTACCTTGGCTTGCAGATCACCCGGGACAGAGCACACCGCACCATCACACTGACTCAGTCACACATGGTGCAGCAGGTCCTTCAACGCTTCGGCTTCACCTGGTCCTCAGCACAGGCCACTCCCCTGGTGACAGGTCACTCGCTCTCAGCTCCACCTTCGGACGAGTCCGTAGAGCCGAGTGGTCCTTACCCAGAGCTAGTTGGCTGCCTCATGTACCTGATGACCTGCACTCGTCCTGACCTCGCGCACCCCCTTGGCCTTCTGGCTCGCTATGTGGCTCCTGGTCGGCACCGACCTGAGCACATGGCTGCTGCTAAGAGGGTACTGCGCTACTTGTGCAGTACATCAGGCATGGGGATAGTGCCTGGTGGGAAGAGCCCAGTTGTTCTCACTGGGCACTCAGACGCTTCTTGGGTTGACGACCAGGCTACTCAGCGGTCGTCACAGGGTTACACCTTCAGCCTTGGCTCTGGTTCAGTTTTGTGGCGTTCTACTCGCCCGTCTTCAGTTCTCAGCTCCAGTTGTGAGGCTGAGATCTATGCCACAGCCATGGCTGCACAGGAGTTGCGCTGGCTCACCTACCTGCTGACCGACCTGGGAGAGCGGCCTCGTTCTCCTCCAGTACTGTACGTCGACAACAAGGCCGCCATTGCCTTGTGTGAGGAGCACAGACTGGAGCATAGAACGAAGCACATTGCTCTGCGTTACTTCCTGGCTCGAGAGTTGCAGCAGCGAGGCCAGCTTCGTCTCCGTCACGTGGACACTCGGGCCAACACTGCTGATATATTCACCAAGGCACTTCCGTCTGGTGATCATCAGCGCTTTTGTACTTTGTTGGGCCTTGTGCCGACGTTTCCACACTTGCTGTAGCCTTTGTTTGTACTGTGACCTGTATATATACCTGCATGTTGGCTCTTGCTAGCTAGAGATCACTGTACGGTTCTTGTTGCTTATATATCTCTGCATGTGAACTGGCCCTGTGGCCGTTTGCTTGTGCTCAGTTTGAGTGGTGACGTTGTGATCCACCCTGAGCTGTGTTTTGTCTCTTGACTGGTCTTGTGACCATTGCTTGCTCTGGCTATCCCCCATTTCACCTATGGGGGTGTGTCAAATATATGCATATTATAGTCTAGGTTGTATTGGGGATAGCCTTAGGGGGTACAAACATTTTCTCGACATTCTCTTTCTTGTACCCCAAACCTTCTCCCAATGACTCATTCTTGCCTAGTTCTTAACAGTACCACCCACAAAGCTGTTGGGGCGTGAGGGACTCACGCGGACGGCGCTGGAGCTGCATCTGGCCACGCCAGGAGCAGCAGGAGCAGTAGAAAGCGCAGTAGCAGTAGGAGCAGCACGAGCAGCAGTAGCAGCAGGAGCAGCAGTAACAGCAGTAGCAGTACTAGCAGCAATAGTAGTAGAAAGAGCAATAGCAGCAGGAGTAGCAGTAACAGCAGTACAGGCAGGACAGTGCTCACCAGTGGCAAGAAGGGCAGGCGTACGACGGTGGCAACGGCAAGGCCGGCACCACTGCAGGGCGAGGGCTCCGCGGCAGCTGCAGGGGGCAGCTGCTCCAGGGGCGGCTGCTCCAGGGGCCAGGGGCGGCTGCTGCAGGGGCGGCTGCTCCAGGGGCCAGGGGCGGCTGCAAAGGTCCAGGGGAGGCTTCTACAGGGGCGGCTGCTCCAGGGGAAGGGGCGGCTGCTGCAGGGGCGGCTGCTGCAGGGGCGGCTGCTCCAGGGGCCAGGGGCGGCTGCTGCAGGGGCGGCTGCTCCAGGGGCCAGGGGCGGCTGCTGCAGGGGCGGCTGCTCCAGTAGCCAGGGGCGGCTGCTCCAGGGGCGGCTGCTCCAGGGGCCAGGGGCGGCTGCTGCAGGGGCGGCTGCTCCAGGGGCCAGGGGCGGCTGCTGCAGGGGCGGCTGCTCCAGGGGCCAGGGGCGGCTGCTGCAGGGGCGGCTGCTCCAGGGGCCAGGGGCGACGCCACGCAGGGGGCCGCGAAGGGGCTGCAAAGGGCCGTGAGGAGGCCTCGAAGGGGCCGCAAAGGGGGGGCCACAAAGGGCCGTGGAGGGGCCGCGACAGGGTCGCGAAGGGGCCGCGACAGGGTCGCGACGGGGTCGCGAAGGGGTCGCGACGGGGTCGCGACAGGGTCGCGAAGGGGTCGCGACGGGGCCGCGACGGGGTCGCGACGGAGCCGCGACGGGGCCGCGACGGGGTCGCGACGGGGTCGCGAAGGGGCCGCGACGGGGCGCGACGGGGGGGGCCGCAAAGGGGGGCCATGAGAGGGGGGGGGGGGGGGGGGGGGGGGGGGGGGGGGGGGGGGGGGGGGGGGGGGGGGGGGGGGGGGGGGGCGAGGGGCCGCATAGGGGCCGCGAAGGGGCGGTCTAAGGGCCGTAAAGGGGGCCACTAAGGGCAAGGTAAGGCCACAAAGTGGCAGTAAATTTTAGGGCAGGGCGCAAAGGCGCTTCGGGCAGCTGAAAAAAAATATTCTTGTGGTGGTCCCACTAGGGAACTCGCTCTATACCATGTTAAGTATGTGAATGAATGAACTAGGAAAGTATGTGATACAAATATGAAACCCTAGAATTGTGTACCCCTTAGTATCTACCCCGCTACAGCCTACATATGCTAGATCATATAAGTCTGACAATGGGTTGCTTCGCAACCCAAAAAAACACGGTCAGACAATACAACCGAAACAACCTGTTATGCTCAACAGGCACGAGCAACATCTAGTAAATGAGGGGTTTATCCTCACGTGGCAAACAGTTGCTGGACAGAGTTGAATTAACCCAAAGCCACGTGACACATCGCCTCTCGCGCGTTTCCAGCTTGAGGGGAAACATTTCCACATTGTACAACCTCGTGCCGCCCATGCGACAAAGATCTGCCATCCGCTCGGTCAGGTTCAGGACGGTGGTTTTGACGAATGCCTTGCACAGCTTCTGCAGTCGTGCATGGTGCCGCCGAATTTGTGGCCAGCAATGGGCTCCTTGTTGAGCACAAACTCTCAGCGAACTGGGCGGCCGCTTGAGTCCACGCCCCTCCACTTGCAACTCACGGTTGTCGTCCTTGTGTCGCTCCAGGAAAAGCGACAGATGTAGGCTCAGCCCCTCACTGAACTTGTCTTCATAGTCGATGTACCGGTGTCGTATGTACAACACCGTTCGGTCCACCTCCTCCGTGACGATGATAACGTCCATCTGGGTGGGTGTGAACACAATCAAACAAGTTCATATCAGATTATAGTGTCAAGAAATAAGTTAAGCCTCACACTAAAGCGTAACATAGTGATGCCATATCTCACTACTCCACTGTCCTGCCGTGTCCAGCGGTCCCGTCTGGCTCCCTGTCCGGTCTTTACCTCCCCTCGTTCTCTACGAACTTGGTGGCGGGTGCTGACCTACAGGATGGAGGAGTTGACCTGTTCACTCCTGCGCATCAGCGGGTGACCCACTGCACGTGTGCTGACACGGGCCGACACTTGGCCACGTTTACTCGTCGGCCGGGGTCGAGCTTGTACACACTGACTGCCGAGTCCCCCCCGGTTGCTGTTCCTGGTCAGGTAGCTGCGTCGGGTCAGGTGTTTGCTGCAGCGTCTCGGTCTGGTCCTGAGTCTGCCCCCTGCTCCTGTCGCCTCCTGTCCCATGAGACTCTTCTCTGGCACCACCGTCTTGGTCACCCCTCCCTGCCTCGTCTTCGAGGCATGGCCTCTCGTGTCCTGGTCTCTGGTCTCCCCCGGTCCCTCCCTCCCCTCCCTCCGGGGCCTGCCCCTACCTGCGTTCCCTGCGTCGAGGCAGCGCGCCGCTCCTCACTCCTCCGAGTTTCCGCCGACAGAGGCTCCGCTACAGACTCTTCACATGGACGTGTGGGGCCCAGCCCGCGTCCGTGGACAGGGTCACGAGCGCTACTTCCTGCTGGTGGTTGACGACTACTCGCGTTACACCACAGTCTTCCCCTTGCGCCGCAAGGATGAGGTCACTGAGGTGTTGATCGACTGGATCCGCGCTGCTCGTCTCCAGCTCAGGAAGAGTTTCGGCTCGGACTTTCCTGTTCTGCGTCTGCACTCTGACAGAGGCGGAGAGTTCTCCTCCGGCCCTCTACGAGCCTTCTGTCGTGCGAGGGGCATCCGCCAGACATTCACGCTTCCGGCCTCTCCGCAGCAAAATGGGATTGCTAAGCGCCGCATTGGCATGGTCATGGATGTCGCTCGCACGTCCATGATCCATGCGGCTGCTCCCCATTTTCTGTGGCCGTTTGCGGTTCAGTACGCGGCGCATCAGATCAACCTTCAGCCCCGGGTCTCCATGCCCGACACCTCCCCCACTCTGAGGTGGACAGGGCAGGTTGGCGATGCGTCTGCGTTTCGTGTCTGGGGATCTCTGGATTTTGTCCGAGACTTGTCTACGGACAAGTTGTCCTCCCGTGCAGTTCCCTGTGTCTTCCGGCCACCACACATTGAAGAGTCCATGGTGCTCCAAGTTAGTGTTATGATACACCAGCTGCAACTCATTAGAGCACTCGTACCAGGGAATTGATTTCCCTATAATCGCACCCAGGGCCCTGATGGCATCGTCCATGATATTGAAGTTAGGAAACGCCTCTACAAACTCTTTGATGGCTAGAAAGAGAAAAGGAACAGATGCGATGCGAAAAGGTAAAAAGGGAAATTCACCACTGATCACATACACAGTATACGAAAAGATGGCATAATCACTCACTGGCACGCGATGCAGTAGCACCCGACAAGATGCGGGATTTGCATGCGAAGGCGAGTTTGCGACCTGACCATGACGGAGGCGCCGTCCGTCGGGGGTGAGTGTGCTCTTGGCACGGACGTCCTTGAGGACAGGCACGAGGACCTTGAGTGTCTTGCAGCCGCTGCGCCTCATCTCGTGGCCATGCTGCTTGCCCCTGAGGGAGACCCGGATGCACCACACATCCCGACCCCGCGCTCTTACGCTGAGGCGATCGCGGGTGAGTACTCCTCTCAGTGGCAGACAGCCATGGACGCAGAGATGGCTTCCTGGAAGTCCACAGGCACTTACGTCGATGAGGTTCCCCCTCCTGGGGCGAACATCGTCGATGGCATGTGGATTTTCAGGGTGAAGCGGCCGCCTGGTTCTCCGCCTGTCTTCAAGGCTCGTTACGTTGCTAGAGGATTCAGTCAGCGAGAGGGAGTTGACTTCTTCCAGACCTTCTCCCCTACCCCGAAGATGACTACTCTTCGGGTGCTGCTGCACGTTGCCGCTTAGCGTGACTACGAGCTTCACTCTCTTGACTTCAGCATAGCCTTCTTACAAGGCAGCCTGCACGAGGAGATCTGGCTGCGCCGCCCACCTGGCTTCACTGGGTCGTTCCCTCCTGGTACCCAGTGGAGCCTCTGGCGGCCAGTCTACGGTCTCCGCCAGGCGCCTCGTGAGTGGCACGATACACTGAGGACTACACTTGCGGCTCTTGGGTTCGCTCCTTTGTTTGCTGACCCGTTGCTGTTTCTGCGCACCGACACTTTGCTGCCGCCGTTCTACATCCTCGTGTACGTCGACGATTTGGTCTTTGCCACTGCTGACACTGAGGCTCTCGCTCTGGTGAAGTCGGAGCTGCAGAAGAGACACACGTGCACAGACCTGGGTGAGCTGCACAGCTACCTTGGCTTGCAGATCACCCGGGACAGAGCACGGCGCACCATCACACTGACTCAGTCACATATGGTGCAGCAGGTCCTTCAGCAGGTCCTCCCCACAGCCCACTCCTCTGGCTACAGGTCACTCGCTCTCAGCTCCACCTTCGGACGAGTCCGTAGAGTCGAGTGGTCCTTACGCAGAGCTAGTGGGCTGCCTCATGTACCTGATGACCTGCACTCGACCTGACCTCGCGTACCCTCTTGGCCTTCTGGCTCGCTACGTGGCTCCTGGTCGGCACCGAAAGGTGCACATGGATGCTGCGAAGAGGGTACTGCGCTACCTGTGCAGTACATCGGGCATGGGGCTCGTGCTTGGAGGACGGAGCGCCGTTGTCCTCACTGGACACTCTGACGCGTCTTGGGTTGACGACCAGGCTACGCAGCGGTCGTCACAGGGTTACACCTTCAGCCTTGGCTCTGGCTCTGTTTCTTGGCGGTCTACATGCTCGTCTTCTGTTCTCAGCTCCAGTTGTGAGGCTGAGATCTACGCCACAGCCATGGCTGCACAGGAGTTACGCTGGCTCACCTACCTGCTGACCGACTTGGGAGAGAGGCCTCGTTCTCCTCCACAACTGTATGTCGACAACAATGCTGCTATTGCCTTGTGTCAGGAGCACAGACTGGAGCACAGAACGAAGCAAATCGCTCTGCGTTACTTCCTGGCTCGAGAGTTGTAGCAGCGTGGTCAGCTTCGTCTTGCTCACGTGGCCACCAGGGCCAACACTATTGATATCTTCACCAAGGCACTTCCGTCTGGTGATCATCAGCGCTTTTGTACTTTGTTGGGCCTTGTGCCTACGTTTCCACACTTGCTGTAGACTTTGCTTGTACTGTGATCTATACATATATACCTGCATGCTTGCTCTTGCTAGATAGTGATCATTGCTCTGTTGTTGCTGCAAATATACCTCTGCATGTGAACTGGCCTTGTGGCCCTTTGCTTGTGCTCAGTGTGTGTGGTGACGTTGTGATCCACCCTGAGCTTGCTTTGCTTCTCTTGACTGGTCGTGTGACCCTTTGTTCTCCCCCACTTTGCCTATGGGGGTGTGTCAAACTATATGGGTTATCTTTGTGTAGGCTATAGTGGGGTAGCCAATATGGGGTACATAACTGCTAGGGTTTCATACTTGTACCCAACTCTGTTCTAGTTCAATCATTCCTGTCTCTAGTTTCTGACACATTTGTTGCCTCCCCATTCGTCGCCTCCCCTCAGAATGCTGCTTGTCTTTGTGCTCGTGGGAACGATGTATCCCGCGCAGAAACTTGAGACCCGTCATAGGGCAAGAGATGCATGACGGGACGGGATCAGGTTCAAGCATAGCTACGCCAGCATTGTCTCCGCCGTTAGGCATCTCTCGCAAGGCAGCAGGAACAGGGTGGGGTGAGGGGTGGCTGTGATGCTGGGTACGCAAGGTACCTGATGACGGATTGGGGAAATGGGTGGAGAAACTGAGGTTCACCCCCCGCGAGCCAGCCGAGCACCAGCAGGCCTTGGCCGCGTTGCCCACATTTTCACCTTCCGTCCACCGTATCATCCCTTGATCCTGACTGATGTTCAGTTTTGCTGGCACAAAAAATCTGAAATTGTGGCTAGCAATGTGTGTTGGCTGAGAAAGTTGCCAACCCGGCCAATTAGCACTCTGAATGCCGCTAACATACGAACAAAATCTGGATGGTGTTCTCGGTGATTCGAGGAAAACCCTGTATCCTTTGTACACAGTAGACTTGGTCCTTACAAAAAAATAAACCCAAAGGCCTGAGAGCAGCCTACAAAAATAACTATCATAAATCAGAGAAAACTAAATTTCCAAAATCTAAAAATCCAACAGGTACAAAGTTCCTTTCAAAAATGACTCTGATTTTTAGAGAAACAGAGTAATTAACTCAGAAAAATTGGTCCTGTTTAGCAGTAAAGGGCGAACAATGGCTGCTGCTGTACGCGATATTGAAGAACACGGTAAGAATGCCAAAATATTCCTTACACTAACCCCTGCCTCCCTTCAAGAAGCCCCCTCCGCTACGTGAGTGCGTGCATATCACAGAAACCTCGGCTTTTCATGTACATTTGCAAGACAAGGTGATTTTCAAAGTTGGCCAGAGGCATCCAGCTGTGTTCAGTTGCCGTGCAATCCTTCCAGCTTACGAGAAACTCAATCCTCCTGTTTTCTATGGGGCAGTGGATCTGGTGGCACAAAGTTTTTTCGGGCTCGACGATCAGCTCCGATGCAGGGCCAGACATGGAAGATGGGCGATGTCGTGGCAGTTGGCTTGTGGTGGCGATGTACGGGCAAAGCACGCTGACGTGGAAGTTTTGGTACGACGAGCAATCTTGAATTCTGTGTGTCCAGAAGTACATAAGTTCCTGACTGATATGATACTGGGCGGTGGTGACGGTCAGCATTTCTCTTTGCAATGGTGCTAGCCTTTTTTATTGCGTCTGCTACTCGTGTTTAGGCAGCTTGCATGATTTCGGGCGAATTGTTGTGTGCGTAATGTTAGGTTGTCCAGGCTCGGCATTAT